CGGACGTTCTTTGCAGGAAGCAAAGACATTTTGAAACTCAGCCTCGTGGTCATTGCAGTATCTTAGTTGGTATTTGAAGACTCTTTGTGTTGTGAAATATTTCTTATCTGTTATTCCTGGTAGCCTCGCACCATTTTGGCGAGGCTTGTGCTTATCAAAGTTAATTAGTTTGCAGCAGCCTTTTAACCGGGGATTTGTAAGAATCATTAAAAGGTTTCTGTTCCCTTTGGTTCGTGTTTGTTTTATTGGACAAGGGTTTGGGTCAGAACAAAGAGTGAGTTAGACTCTGCTGCTTCACCTTAATAGAAAACCCCAAATGGGATTAGCCTTCCCTGACAAAAGCGAATTTGTTTTTTCATTCCTGCAAACCTTTTACCCCAGGTGAGTTCCAGAATTAGATTCCAAAATTAGAATGTGCAACTAACAAAAAGCTCTTCTCTGAAACCAGAAATAACATAATATTCCATTTTCTTGTATGACAAGGCCACGGGTTTGCTTTATTTTACTTTTTTTTTTCCTATGAGAAAACAAGATTGGACATTGAGCATGATCCAGAGAAGGAAGTGATTCATTTGGAAAGATGCGTTTGGAATGATTGGTGCCGCTTAATGACTTTAGCAGAAATTCTCTATTCCTCCTGTTTCCTCTGGAGAATTCCAGCCCGTAGAACATATTGCTCGAAATCCTTTATTTAGCACCTTTCTATTTACAGAAATTTCACAACATCTTCGGAGCTGTTGCACCTGAAACGATTTAATCTGTCTCCTGAGAGGAAACCTGCACAATGTTTCGGTCCTGATGCCCTGGCTTTCAATGGTCTCTTTTGTTATCTCCGGTGACAATCTAGCAAGTATGCTGTGAATTGTCCACCCCAGTGCTATTCTGGGAGAGCAAACAAGGGAGTAGAAGCCATCCAGGGAGGTGATATTATGAATGATATTATCGTTCGGAAGGGACGAATGGAGTCACTTGGTACATTAAACCACAATTGAGAAGTTGAAAGGGATGGTGGAGGTCTTCTAGTCCAGCCCAGCAGTCCCCAACCTTTCCAATTTGGTGGCCCAGCCCAGCACGGGGGGGAGAGTGGGTTGCAGGCACCCACATGCACGCAAAGCAGAGAATGCTGGCACTCACACACAAAGTTCCATCCTCGCAAAGGGAGCTCCGTGTGTGAGTGCTAGCACCCTCCGCTCAGGCGAGTGAAGCTTCACACGAGCATGCTTGCCCATCTCTCTCGTGGCCCCGTTTTAAACAGGCTGTGGATCAGAGGGGTGCAGACCCCTCTGCACTATACCATTCCAGACAAGTGGCTGTCCATCTCTTCTATCCCCAGTGATGGGGCATCCACATGAAAAATAGAAATATTGGGAAGAAACAAAGGGATAAAGGAGGACATGACAGATGACTCTATCACCAACAACTTGAGCCAGTGCAAAATATTTAGGTAGGTAGGTAGGTAAGTAGAGATAGAGAGATAGAGATAGAGATAGAGATAGATAGATAGATAGATAGATAGATAGATAGATAGATAGATAGATAGATAGATAGATAGACACACACACACACACACACACACACACACACACATACAGAGAGAGAGAGTTAGATATAGATAGATGATAGAGATAGATAGAGTAGATAGATAGATAGATAGATAGATAGATAGATAGATAGATAGATAGATGATAGATAGATAGATAGATAGATGATAGAGATAGATATATAGATATAGATAGATGATAGAGATGGATAGATATAGATATATAGAGATAGATGATAGATAGATATAGATATATAGATAGAGATAGATAGATGATAGAGATAGATATATAGATATAGATAGATAGATGATAGATATAGATAGATAGAAATATAGAGATAGAGATAGAGAGGTAGACAGATAGACAGATAGACAGATAGATAGATGATAGATGATAGAGATAGAGATAGAGATAGAGATAGATATATAGATATGTCCTGCTTCATCAAGCAAAATCCACATTCACCCAATGCACATAACAGGAATATTTTAATAAGAGTTGAGCAAATGATATCGTATTTACATTTAATTAATTGAGATTTTTCTGAAAACATATTTTCTAAACAAAAAGAGTATAGGTAGTTTTTGACTGATAACAATTCGTTTAGTGACTGTTCCAAGTTCCAACAGCACTGAAAAAAGTGATGTATGGTTTCCAAATGATTCCATGTACGAAGGGTGGGTTACTCATTTTCAGATTAATGTAGCCAACAGCTGTTTTTAAAAGACGATCAATCGCTACAGTCTACGCAAAGCCATTTTTCGTTGTGTTGCATGTTCCTTTTCAGTGAAAGACTTTTGTGTCCTGACAAGCAGATCGTCAGCCCAAAATGCCGTCTTTGGCATTTCTTTTTTCAACCTCTAAAAAGCAGAGATGCTGAGCCCTTAAACATTTCTGTTTATCTTTGCAGCCGGAGGAAGGTCAAGACTGAAGATGCAGAAATGAAAGATATATAAAGTTTGGTGTCTTGCCAGTCATTGTGTCTGCTTTTATTTGACAACAATAATTGGTTTGCAGAAGGAATTCCTTTATAGGCTGAGATTTGATTTAATGTTAAAAACAGACTGGACATTTTTTTCCCCTCTCTAGCACAGAGCTGGAGGAAGAAACATTTCCCTGGGTTTCCACTTGCCAAGGCAACCCTAAGTTGCATTAACAGAGGGATAGAATCAAGATCAAGGGAGGTACTAATACCACTCTATAAAGCCTTAGTAAGACCACACCTAGAGTCCTGCATCCAGTTTTGGTCACCACTATAAAAAAGATGTTGAGGCTCTAGAAAAAGTGCAGAGAAGAGCAACCAGGATGATTAGGGGACTGGAGGCTAAAACATATGAAGAACGGTTGCAGGAACTGGGCATGGCCAGTCTAGTGAAGAGAAGGTCCAGGGGAGACAGGAGATCAGTCTTCCAATATTTGAGGGGTTCTATCAGGAAATTTCTCCTTTCTAGGTTTGTTCTCTCTTTGATTAATTTCCATCCATTGTTTCCAGTGCTTTGGAAAACAGGCTGACCCCCTCTTCTTTGTGGCAGCTCCTTAGATATTTAACAGATTAACAGAGTTGCAAGGGACCTTATAGTTTTTCTAGCTCAAGCAGGAAACCCTATACCATTTCTGACAGACAGCAGTCCAGTCTCTTCTTAAGAGCTTCCAGTGATGAGACTCCCACAACTTCTGAAGGCAACTTCTATTCCATGGATTGATTGCTGGTCTCACTGTCAGAAAATGTCTCCTTATTTCCAGGTTGAATCTCTCCTTGTTCAACTCTCCATCCATTATTCCTTGTCTGGCCTTCAGGTGCTTTGGAAAATAGCTTGACCCCCTTCCTCCTCTCTGTGGCAGCCCCTCAAATATTGGAAGACTGCTATCCTGTCTCCCCTGGCCCTTCTTTTATTTATTTATTATTTATTTTTATTTGTCAATTGCTTACAAGATAATAGGTATAAGTAAAAACATAGTTATGAATACATGGATACATATAAGAAAAATAAAAATATATATATAAGAAACAACAGGACAGGGATGGTAGGCACGTTAGTGCGCTTATGCACGCCCCCTGCAGACCTCTTAGGAAAGGGGTGAGGTCAATAGTAGACAGTCATACACTAGACTCGCCATACCTGGTTCCTGCAACCGTTCATCGTATGTTTTAGCCTCCAGTCCCCTCACCATCCTGGTTGCTCTTCTCTGCACTCTTTCTAGAGACAATGGATGGAAATTAATCAAAGACAGAATCAACCGAGAACTAAGGAGAAATTTCCTGACTGTTAGAACAATTAATAAGTGGAACAACTTGCCTCTAGAAGTTGTGGGTGCTTGAGGTTTTTAAGGAAAGATTGGGCAACCATTTATCTGAAATGGTATGTTTCCTGCCTGTGCTGGGGGATGGACTAGAAGACCTCCAAGGTCCCTTCCAGCTCTACTCTTCTCTTATTCTGTTGACTCTCCTTGTTTCAGCCTCCCTCCCTCTTTCCCTCTGATCCATCTTCCTGGTTCCTACCAGATCCCAATACAGATGGCTACCGTATTGCGACAGAAGCAAAAAAAAATACTACATTAATGTTTAAAGGGATTTAAAAATCCTCTCGGAAGCAGTGGCATATGCTAGCAGTTAATTGTAGCACTGGAAGCTTCCCTGTTGTTTTAAAACATGGTCTCATTTTACATTCTTTTCTTCAGAGTGGCAAAGAAATGTCAAATGTATTGGTATAAGTCTAGATTTTTGTTTGGCAAAAGAAAAGCTGTAACTACAACATGGGGTTGTTATTGTTGTTAATGGTGGAGGGTTGTTGTTGTTGTTTTTTAATTCCTGAACAAATTTTAGTCTCCAAATATTGTTTTGCAAGGGTGCCAATGTTGGCGGTGTGCTGATCAAACAGCACAGATCTCATTTGTATTCATAGCTTTGAGTTTTGGAAGAGACGTTCAGCTGTTTGGTGGCGTCGCTTCGTGTTCTTGTGATTAGGATTGACACTTAAAATGTTTGCATGTTGGATTGCCCAGGCCAGGTGAGTCCTTGCAGTATGACTGATGGTGGCATGGTCTTTCTATCTTAGCCCCTTCAGGTAATTCTTGAATTAACCACTGCCTACCTATCCAACCAAGGTAAAAAAACAAAGCAAGGTATCTGGCCTAGCAACAGGGAAGGCCTACTCCGGGTTCGCCTGGCGAACCTGTAGCTAATGTTATGGCCAGTTCGGCGAACCAGCAAATCTCATCCCTGGCTGGCCCCACCCACCCCACCCCACCCCTTCGAGGAGTCTCCACGTCGCCCATTTTGGATGCAAGGGAAGTGCAAGGCCTGCGCAGAAGCTCAGGGAAGGCAAAAAACAGGCCTCCCAGAGGCGCCATAAGGCCGGAAATGGGCCCGTTTCTCACCTCAGGGGGGCCTCTGGAGCCCCAGAGGGAGGCTGTTTTCAAGGAAAGCCTCCAGAGCCTGGGGAAGATGAAAAATGGGACCTCCTGCTGCGGTGCAGGAGGCCGACTAGGCCACACCCACCATGGCCACACCCACCCACCAACCAGGCGGAGAACCAGTTGCTCAAATTTTTGAAGCCCGCTCCTGCCTAGCAACCAAACACAGGTTAGTCTGCTCTGTTGCATTCCTTACATAGCTACTTGTGGTTGTGGAAGTTGGACCGTAGATAACAAAACAGGAAAGGAATCGACTCCTTTGAGCCGAGGTGATGGAGAAGCTTCCTGCATATTCCTCGGACAGCAAAAGTAACTAACAAGCTGGAGCATGTAACAGCAGAGACGTCACTAGAAGGCAAAATCACAAAACTGTGTCTCGCTTACTTAAAACAATTCTGTTTTGGAAGAGTTAGCAGTAAAAGGAAACCAGGCCACTGAGGAACACGATTGGTGGCTGGATACCATCAAAGCAGACACCAGCCAGAGCATAGAAAAACTCAAAGAATTTGTGCAAGATTGGAAGATGTGGAGAGACCTGGTCCATAGAATCACCAAGAGTCGGACATGACTGAATAGACAACGACATCATCATCATCATCATCATCATCATCATCATCATCATCATCATCA